TTCGTTTTTCACTTGGTCAGATTATACGTCCCAGGCTATGCCATGGCACCAGTAAAACTTTCTGTAAGAAAGCTCTGGTTCGAAGTCAAGCAGCAATAGATTTTGCTGCTGATAAAGCTCTTTTCCTTCTTGAAAATAACAGCCACAGCATTTCTTCCCAAAGCTTTTTGAGTAAGCTTGACTCGTAATGTCTGCAGCGGATTGACAAAGTCGCGACTGAATGATCAAGGAGACGTTCATAACCCAAGGCGGTACGCTTATTGCTTTTTCCCTTAGAAAATAAAAGTCAATATAGGTTTTATTACATCCTCTGCAGTTCCTCTTTTCCTCACTCAGTGTGAAGGGGGTAAAATCACTCTGGCAGGCGTGTGGTTCACCCTTGTGCCACCATTGATTATTTTCTGTTTACCTCCTTGAATTTGAGGTCTATTATGAATCCTCTTTATTCCTGCTGCTGCTTGCATGGATGCTGCAGGGGTTTACTTAGTAGACTGTCCCGTAGAACAGGCCTCACGTAGAATAGATCTATCGGCCCAACAAGATTTTCATAAGTGGTGACCTACTGTAGCAACTGATCCAATAGATCTGCTCTCTGACGGAGACTAATAGGAGGATTCTGGTGCTGTGATGGATTCTTCCCTCTCATATGCAAGTTGGCTTCTAAAGGAGCTCAATTCTAATCCACTGGCCCTTTGCACCGCTTAGATTTATGATCCTACCTCTGAAGATCGGGACAAGATTTGTATTTTTCTACTTGCTTAGAGCAGCAGTGAGCAAGTTCTGTTAGACTCGGGGCTAGTTTTCTGTTCCTCCATGGGTAGGCACAGACTGCCTAAAATGCAGAATTAAAATTAAACTTTAAAAAAAGGTAAATAATATAAAGTGGAAAATGAAAGAAGTCCATTTCTGGTTTTGCAAAATAACAGCCCTGTGATCTATTCAAGGAATTAATCTCCCATGGTGGTTGTGGGTTTTTTGGGCTCTTTGGGCCGTGTTCTGAAGGTTGTTCTTCCTAACGTTTCGCCAGTCTCTGTGGCCGGCATCTTCAGAGGACTGGAGTAACACTATGTGCTCTGGTGCGTTTTGTTTGGGAGTATTTATGGCTGTGAGATCAGCTTTTGTCCTTTTCAGTGTGATGTGGCTACAAAAAAAGGCAAATGCTATTTTAGGCTGCCTTAATTGAAGCATAGTTTCCCAATCCTGCGAGGTGCTGGTCTCCCTCTATTCAGCATTGGTTAGGCCTCACCTTGAGTATAGTGTGTCCAGTTGTGGACACCACACTTCGAAGAGGATGCTAACAAATTGGAATAAGTTCAGAGGAGGGCGAGAAAGGGTTGATCAGGGGGCTAGAAGCCAAGCCTTATGAGGAAAGGCTGAAAGAACTGGGTATGTTTAGCTTTGAGAAAAGAAGGCTGAGGGGTGATAGGATAACATTTTTTAAATATTTGAAAGGCTGTCATCCAGAGGAGGGGCAGGATCTGTTCTTGATCATCCCAGAGTGCAGGAGACACAACAATGGGCTCAAGTTACAGGAAGCCAGATTTCGGGTGAATATCAGGAAAAACTTCCTAACTGTTAGAGCAGTACGACAGTGGAACCAGTTACCTTGGGAGTTGGTGAGTGCTCCAACACCGGAAGCATTCAAGAAAAACTTAATCACCTGGCAGTTATGCTTTGATTGTATTCCTCCCTTGAGCAGGGGGTTGGACTTGATGGCCTTAATACAGCTCTATTACAACATGTAACTTATCTAACAGGAAAAATGATCAAAAACACCAGGCTGCTCCATACTAAAGATTTTTCACTTCCCTAAATATGAGGCATGGCCATTGTCCATATGCACTCAGTCTCCAACACAGTGAGGGCATCACTGGATATGCTGACTAGTGCTGGAGATATACAATGGAACCGTCAGTAAGAAAGATATGAACAGGAGATGAATGCGAGTAAAGAGACCTGCATAGGCTTAAAGTCCTTTTTTAGCTGGGGATGGCGACTAGCACAACATAACCTGCATTGTTTGAGACGAGGGCAGACAGGATTTAATAGGACTTATTTCAGAGTAAACATGCATAGGGTTGAAGTGCAGAGGGTTAAACCCAAGACTTAAAAAAAAAGGAGGATGGATCTTGGAAAGGAGTTGCAATGATAAGAGGGGAAAATGGCCAAGTTTGCAGATGACATGAAACTTTTCCGGGTAGTGAAGACCAGAAGGGATTGTGAAGAGCTCAAGAAGGATCTCTCCAAATTGGGAGACTGGGTGGAAAAATGCCAAATGTGTTTCAATCTAAGAAAATATTAAGTAATGCACATTGGGGCACAAGAAACCGGGCCTTCTCAGCAGTGGCTCCCTGTCTTTGGACCAATCTCCCCTCCGAGATCCATTTGGCCCCTTCGCTGGGCATTTTCAAAAACCATCTTAAGACCTGGCTATTTAGACAGGCCTTCCCTCTGGGCACCACTTAATTTATCTTTTGTTTCTACATCTTGAATGATTGTTAGCTGCTGTCAATTGTTGTAAAATTGTTTTTATATATCAATTGTTTTATACTTTGCTTGTTGTGAGACGCCCAGAGTAGACAATGTCTAGATGGGTGCATATAAGTCCAATAAACAAACAAACAAACAAACAAACAAACAAATATAAAGTGGGCATTAGGGCCTCTCATATCTATTATGGTCAACATATTTATGGAGAGTGGGGTTTACATGATGTGATGGGATACCAATGAATATGTACAGTGGTGCCTCGTTTGACGAGGATAATTCATTCCGTTAAAATCGCTGTTCAGCATAATCCTCGTCAAGCGAAACGAAAAAGCCCACTGAAAACCGTTTCAATGCATTCCAATGGGCTAAATACCTCAGCATCCAGCAAAGATCCTCCATAGGGGCAGCCATTTTCGGTGCCTGTAAAGCGAAGAATCCATCCTGAATCATAGCAGGGAGCCATTTTGCACAGCGGGCATTTTAGAGTCACCGATCAGCTGTTTTAAAATCATCATCTAGCGAAAAATCGGTTCCCGAAGCAGGGAACCGATCATCGTAAAGCGTTTTTTCCCTATTAGAACATCGTTTTGTGATCACAAAAACTTCATCATAAAGTGGTTTCGTCGTTTAACAAGGTAATCATTAAGCGAGGCACCACTTATTATTGGTTCACTTTTGGCACAGTCACTAAATGGCAGTGCTGCAGCCAAAACTCTGTTCACTCCCAGGTACGTAGCCAGCTTAAGGTTGACTCCCATCCTTCTGAGGTCTGTAAATTGAGTACCCAACTCTCTGGGGTTGGGGCAAAGTGTAGCCTGCATAATTAAATTGTAAATCACTCAGATAGTTTTATGAGCACTATGGGGTGGTTTATGAGCAGCACACTTTGCTTTTTTCTTTTTCTTTCCTCCTTTTCCTTTACTACACAATGCATTTTTGCTACTGGTTTCTACAGCACTTTCCAGGGCTTTGCTATTCATGATCCCTTTTAAATATTTTGAAATCAAAAGATATGTATTATATTAAAAACTACACCTAAGTACAAAAGGTCACTTCATTATTTATTTACTGCTTTCTTGCTTGCAAAAGCTCAGAAGGGATTACGATGCCATCCACATTCACTAGAAGATGAAGCAGCATAAAACATTAGGTTTCCCTTTAAGTCACATAGACCTTTTGCTCCCGTTGCACATTGTAACAGTGTCTAAATGTATGTAAAAGAATTCTTCCTCCTCACACTTCCGTTATAACTCCTTATTAAACCTCAAGTTCCTTATGAGAAGGACTTCCCTCTTACACTTGGTAAAATGCAAAATATTGTCCCTTATTATTTCACCAGCATCAATAAAATTACCTTATTTTTGAAAATTTATTAAGGAATCAGGGTGGCAGGTGTATTTGGTCATAACCTTTCAGCATGGTAATTGTGAGGATATACAGTATACAATATTTTTCATCTTTGTGGAATGATTAAAATACTTCTTCTTCTGGAGTGGACAAATATATGATCTTCATAATAAACTATGACCAGAACGTTTAATCTGGGATAAATGGATTATAGCCCAGTTGCACCTGAAGTTCAGTCCATGAAAGCTTATGCCTAATTAAACTGGTGGCATAAAGACTTTTTGTTAGTTTTGCAACACAAGACTATAAACAACGAGTTGTTCTCTGGGGTTGATAAAATAATGTAATTGCAACTGCCAGTACCATCATACGTATATGTTTTGTGACACTTTTAAGGTTTGCATGTTCCATCATTTTCTAGATTGTAAAATCCACATCTTTATACTGGGGAAAATGGGGAATAAAAGGAAATAAATAAATAAATGCAAACAGCTACAATACAGAAAAAAATGTGTGCTAAATGACAGTTGCTAGCCTTTTATAGCTCACTGGTATAGGTCTCTGGCTGCGGAGCCATAGGTTAGGAGTTCAATTCCCCACTGTGGCTCCTTGAAAGGGGCTGGACTAGATGATCCACGGGGTCCCCTTCCAGCTCAGCAATTCTAACATTATGACTTTTATTCTTTATGGCCCAAATGTGTCCTCCGGTTGTTTCCCGTTCCAGGAGCGGATCTTGATCATTGCTGCTCCCCCCTTCAAGGAGCTGCTATGGCTGTGCAGCGGGATTTGAACCCAGCTCCCATTCCGGAGGGTAATCACCACAAATGCAAATCTGGGCGGGAAAGGAGGTCCTCCGCCAGCTCGTATTTGATTGACCGCCTCAGAAACCGGGAAAGGCCTCGGTGGTCCAGCGCCAAACCCACACCCGCTATGCGGGGGCGGCGGGGAGGACTTCCCTGGCGCACCTTCTCCATCCCGGTCTTCCTATACCTTCTCCGCTCACCTGCGAAGGAGCGGCAAACTACGACTCCCGGCGTGCACAGCGCCAGGAGCCAGGGCGGGCGGGCGGTGTTCTCCCGCCCCTCTAGGGCCGCCATAGGGTGCTCGCGGAGGAGCCCGCCCTCGCATTGGTCCGGCGGCCGGGAGCGGGGCGTGGCCGACCCTGAGGAGGAGGGGGAGCTGAGCCCAAGATGGCGGCGTCTGAGGCGACCGGCCGATACAGGAGCGTCATGAGTAAAAGCAAGGACCCCTCCGGCCTCCTCATCTCCGTCATCAGGTACTCGGGCGGGCGGGCCGGCGCTCCTCTCCCGGGGCTGGAGACCGGAGGCCGACAGCCCTCTCCCGGGCCGGAAGGAGCCCTCCCAGCCTTCGCTATGAGGGGAGAAGGCGCTCCAGGCCTTCCCGTCCCTTCCTTGTCGCGCCTCTGGAGGTGGCTGTCAGGAGCCAGGATCGCGCCCTTCCCGCCTTTTGGCCCCTTTTGGGGAGGTTCCCCCCCACCCCGCCCGGCCTGGGCTCCAGGGAACCCCCGAAGGTTTGGGTGGGGTTGGAGAGCCACCCAGCCCTTTCCCAGCCCTTTTCCATGATGATGATGATGATGATGATGGAAGGGATGGTCACTCTCGAATTGGCCTCCTCAGCCACACTAGACGCTGTTCCAAGT